GAACACCTATAAAACGCTAAGTAAACAGCTGCCCTGGCTTTATGCCGCCAGTAGATTCACGAGGTTCTAGAGTTAATTTCCATTTATCAGCTAAGATTTACTGACAGCGCCGGTATTTATTTCTGTTCTCCACCAAGTCACTTTGCATGGGGGAAGCAGGAGCTAAGACAAGAACTGGAAACATCTCCTTCACATGGGAAGGTGCCCTGCTAAGAAACTGCTTATTGAACCCGACACTGAGCATATAAACAACATCAGAGGGAGTGCACACACGCGTACTCTCCATACAGGGGAGGACAAGGCGGTGAAAGTCAAAGCTATTACAAGACAAATACAAATTAAAGACATTGTTTTTAATCTCCAGGATACTAAGATATTTTTGAGAACTCCCAATGTTCGGGGGAGTAGGGAGGGAGAGAAAGGGGGGGAAGGGCAGTAAGTTGTACTGAAACTTTTCTTACCGTTTCTAAACTTTTTGGGGGGAACAAAAAAAATCATTCTACTGAAAGCAACAGAGGATTTTTAAACCAACAGAAAAGCACTCGCTTGATAAAAACTTTCTAAAAGGTAGCTTGTCCTTTGCTAAAACTTGCCATTATGCCTCAAAAAGCATACCCTGGATATGCACTTTTCCAGACAGCTCTGCAAGTGAAATGCTGTTTGGTTCAAAAACTGTTGTATATTTTAACCAGTGTGGTTATTCCTGTCAATTGTCCCCTGATTGCAGATCTGTGAAAAACAAAGGCGTCCTCAGAGCTACGCTGAAGATACAAGGGTAACTATTAAAGTTCACAGAATTTTCGACATTCCCCTTCCTCACCCCGAAACCTTAACCCTTTAGTGAATGCTGCCATGTAAGTTTCCTTTGTTTGCCTGCCTGGTGGGCCACCTGGAAAGCATCAGCCTTCTATGAGGGAAACTCCTATAGGCTTATGGAGAATTTCCTTAAAATGAAGCCTTGCCTTCCGCTATCATTTCCCAGAAAGGTATATTGTTCTATCACCACCCATATCAAATTCAAGTGCAGAGATGTGTTTACAGTACGTGCAGAGGCTCAGATAGGCTGGGCTGTTGCAATCCTGTTGCAATCCTGCGCAGAAAACAGAATGTTAACACTGGCACGCCGCTCCCACGCCCTCCCCTTTTCACAGGCTTTACATTAACTCAGTGACACCCTGCTAGGCACAAGGTTTATTTACACAACACAAAGTCTTGAGACTAGCCTTTGTTTGACTGCAATGTTGACAGGCTTATGAAGCATTACTGACTACAGTAAAGGTGTATTAAGAATCGACTGAGGACCACATATGAATGAAATGTTTTGAAACTCACTTGATTGAGTTTCCAGCTGCAGCATATTTCTCTTTTAGCCAGAAGCTGTTGGGACAAACAAACGAAATTCCTGACTTGAACGGGGACCACTGAATTCCACTAACATGGTGGTACCACAGGGACTGTAACTCGGGATATGCTGGTGATGCTCCCAAGAGAAGCAAATCTCTCCTTCCCCAGCCATTCAGTTTTTTCCCTGGGATAGATTTGAACTGGATACATTTCCCAATACGCTTCACCTCATGGTTGTGTCAGAACAAGGGAGGGGACAGTGTGGGAGCAGGAAGAGGGCCGGACTCCCTCTTTTGTCAGCAGTGCTAGTCGAAAGTACTCGTGGAACTACGTTGTGCTGATTTACATCTTGAAAAAACACTCCTTGGCTTTCTTACAAATTATTGCTGCACATATAGCATTTAAAAATATACATATATGCAAAAACATGCAGGAAAGCTTAGGTGCAGATTTATTGGGTAGAGGTGGCCAAGGGGGCTTCACCTCCCCACAATCAGCAATATCCAGTCATATGAGGAAGGAGTGGCTGCTGTACTCGCCCTCTTCCCCACAGGGTGTCTACTGCAGAAGAGTTCCTCTGTTTCACATGACATTTTGTTGTCCAAGTATTGGACAAGTATCAGGATTTTTTCCTAGCTTCCAAGAAGCTATCTGTGTGATTCTGGAGAGGATTCAATCCCTGTGCCTCAGCTTCCCCTTCCGTGGGAATGACACGTAATACTTCCTACCACATAATTTTTTTTTACATTAACAATTGCAAATTATTGTGAGAGCCTCTCACAGCAGACACGCTAAAGCAAAGAAAAAAACTCCTCAAAATAGAGCTGACCCATAGCAACTGGAAGATATCTAGTCAAAACGTCAGGGAGTGACCAGAGAGTGAAAATGGCATAAATCTAAGTGCCAGTATATCCTCTGCACAGTCCAGGGTCAGTTTCAAAATGCATTACAAGGCTGATGAACCAATAAAAATGTCCATGGTTGCTATCCTAAAAGCAAATGGGGCTGGTAACAAATATTTCATACTAATAAGAACCTAGATAATCCGAGATCATCTTCCAAATGAAATTCCATTCCTTTTCTGTACCTTTTTTCTTAAGGCTATTTTTTGATTAATAAAATTAGTTCATAGCACTGGTATAACATCTTTTTCCATAGATCTTCATACTTTTCGAGGACCTCAGTCTCATTACGCCCATTTTACAGGCAGGGAAACCAAGGCACAGAGAAGCAAAAGTGACTTACAGTCATTCAACAGGGAGGCAAAAGCAGGAGAAACCAAGGTTCCATCCCATTTCAGTTTATTCTGTTCTCCCTTTTTTTTTTTCCTCTATAGGTGTACAGAAAATAAAATTACTTCTCATTAAACTTACTAGGTGACATTAAAGAGGTGAACAAATTCTTTCTTTACGTTGTAAATTCTCCTGGCTGTCTTGAAAGAATAGATAAACCCCCACCACCAGCACCACTATAGAGTTAGGTAGACACTTTCCAGATCAATAAAATAAACATGAAATAAACCGTTGTTCTTATAAATATTTATATAATCATTTAGGACTGAAATTGGCTATCATTGAATTGACCTCAGATCTTTGACATAAATGCCTATTTGAAGCACCTGGCAATAGGCTGTAAGCCTCCACACCCAGAATATCTTTGTCTGGACTTGCAGACTTGCCAGCCGCACGCCTTTTCCTATACCGACTATAAGAAATGCAATAGCTGGAAAACATCAGCACAAAACATGCTTATATAGAACAAGGCTACGTACCAATAGCTCTTACAACACACGTGCTTAACCTCTCTCACATGACTTACCCGAGTCCACAGACCATTCTTAGCCGAACAGAAGCCTCAACAAATATGTTCACATTAAGGTGGGTACCCAGATCTCTAAACTCTGCACAGCCATTTTTGGAATGTCTATTTGTGCTTCTTAAAAAAAGAAAAAAAAAAAAAAAAGCTGAATTTCAACTAGCAGGCATCACAGCCCTTAGGCCTTTGCTTATTATTGTCCTTTTATCCTAAATTTTTTCCTTGATCTCACCAACTTGCTCCTAATATAGTCAAATGTAACACCTTTTTATATGTTTTGCACATTCTCAACAGGCTGTGTAAATAGTCTTGTGAACTGGCCAATATACACACCACCTGTTGTTCATGCAGTACTTCCTCTACTACATATGTGAACTGTGCTCCCAAACCTATTGTGCAAAACAAGATATCAGGGAGGGATCAATACTGGTTTTGGATAGAATTTTCCATCCCTACCTCCCTGCTGGAAGGAGGGAATATAGAGGCATTGCAGTATCTGCAACTACCTACAACTTTTGCTGAAGAAAGGAAGAGACAACAGCAATTTTGAAAGTTTCAGCTAGCTTCGTTCTTCTCCTGTGCAAGTTCTACGGGGCCACTATGGGCAAGAACAGAACATCCCCATCCTGTAAGGGGACAGGGATGGCTTGTGCAGTGAGGAGCAGCTACGCAGTTGTGCTGATATGTCAGCTGTGATTCATGCAAGGTTGTTTATTAATCATCACCGGGGAGCGAGGAAGAGTAGCAGTTTAGCAGCATCTTGTACAAAACTGAAGTCTCTAGCTGTGCTTGTGCTTTCAGGTATCATCTTACCTAGGCCATGCCCTTTTCTCCCTACAATGCCTTCCTTAGTTATTTGGCAACCCTTACTGCTCCCACACCATGACTCCAACACAAATGACTGTCATCCAGAGTGAATGTTTCCATTTGAATTACACGAGCGGCACGCTAAACTTCCCCACAGGCTCTGCCACTATAATCCCTGGGAAGGAGCAATCTGCAGGACCTACTTTCACTGCTCAATGCTTTCTCTGTTTATTGCTAGTACTGGCAAAACCAAAATCATTACTCAAATTCAGATAGGTGTCCTTACATCTATCAGCCACCAACCACTAGTGATATCCAGTAACAGACATTCATTGTCCACGTCTAAGCCTGAACACTGAGAAGGAGAAGCCTGAACGCAGCCATAGCATAGAGAAGGAAAGTTTGATTTCTCATTGGAAACCCCTAAGCTCTAAGGTGCTTTACACTAGCGTTTTTGGTCTCACGCAGACTTGTTTCCTTTCCTTCTCCTGTTGCAGGCACTGCTTTATTCCAGGTTGCCAGGAACCTACTGTTCCGACAGCTGCTAAGATAGAGTGAGGTGTCAACTTTGACAGGATGCCAGATTGTTTATTAATTAAAAATTCAAGCATTTTGTATACATTCTAAGACTATAATCAAAACTGAGTTATTTTATCAAAGGCTCTCAATGGTTAAATAGGTTCTCTGAGGCTTGCAGTCACAATCAGCAAGCATAAATCAACGTATTCTGTTGCCACTACGTACTTTAATATGTGTTTATGGGAACATCAGACTGTCAGAAAGCTAACTTCAGCTCCCCACAGTGAAACCGCGTCTCAGTAGTACCTAACAAATGCACGCTTCCGGGGGATCTTTGTCCTCAAACACAGTAAGTATCTTTTCATCAAAGGTGTTCATCTGCCTCCCCAACACTCAGAGTTTGTATGTTTGTGTTTGCATGTTACAGTTTTCTCATGCTGCCAGCTCACAAGGCTGAACACAGCCGTCTGCTTCCCATATGCCACACATCCTCCAGTGCCTCCTTTAGAGCTTACCTTCAAACCCGCTTCATTCTCCGGGCTCCCACTGTGGATCAACAGCTATTCTGCCAGCCTTGTTTGTGTGCAGAGGATTTTTCTGATTGGAAGCTCCGCAAGACAGGGACTTTGCCCAACTCTGTATTTCTCAGAGCACTGGATATGCTATGGTATAAAAAGAACAAACAGAGACATTAACAGTGTGAAATTTAGATTTGTAATACCCTAAAAAGCATGGGGAACAAGACCCCAGGGTCTCTTTCAGACCCATCACTAAGCAAGGCAGTTTTCTATTCAGTCAGTTTCTTGATCAAAAATATACATTATATACTGTTGTTTCAATAACAAAAATATAGTTCACTCATCATTTGAAAACATATTTCTCAGCACTAGCAGTCACCATCAAAATCCTTTATAAAGCTAGCTGGGAATGGGTAAAATTGACAGTGAGTAATCTAGTACAAACAACTACTGGGAAAACAGAAGATCATTCTATCCACTTTAGAGATAATCACCTAAAATTTCATTCATATATTGCTGCACACAAATATCCAGGGTTTCAACTGTGCAGACACCATTCTTTAAAAAGGAAGTATATACACACACATTTATTCATTTATTTATTTTTAGTGGTTCCTTCCTTACTTCTGCACTCTTTCTCTGTTTACAGTCAATGTTGCTGTCCTGCCCCAGAGGTAACCCAACAGGTCTTGCAAAGTCTAACTTTGCCCCACCTCCATCATTCACAGTCTTGTCTCTCTAACCTACTCATTTTCCTCTATTCCACAAACTAGTAGTTTCAAAGAAATTCAGAGATTAATTAAAATGATGGGTGGGATGAGTAGGTGAGGGGGACAGGCTAAAGGGCTTGACAAGAAGAAAGATGAAAAGGACTAAATGCGTATAGCTTGGTTATACGATGACTAATTCAGGGTGGAGGAGATGGACACGATACTCATTTATAAGTGCCGGTAGTTCTAAAGAGCCTTTTTCATGTGCAGACTGAAGATCGGCTCAGGACTAGTGTTCAGTCTTGTTTTACAGATCTGGTTTCAGTGTCCTTCACCTCAAGTTCAGAGCGCCACTCTTCCCCTGGCCTATACGTTCCCACCCCTCCCCTCGTAGCTTCAAATATTTTTTTTTCAGCTCAGCTTTCAGTCAGATCCAGTCCGTGCATCTCTACCTGGCTACGTAAGTCCTAGTGGAGGCAAAAAGCAAAAAGGGAGGCCACAGAAATCTGAAGCTGTAGGATGGAGGATGTGGCACCTCTTTTAGCAGTGATGCAAACTTGGATGGCTTTGAACAGACTATGAAAACACACCTTGAGGAACTGAGGAGGACTTGGGAGCAGGAGCACCAGATGTTCTGCAAATTATTTTCCTTCCACTTACCCCAAAGAAACTGCTATTTTTGCCCTCCCAGCTTCTTTTATTATGTTCCAATATAGGACATAAAAGAAATATGCTTGCTCCTTCTTACTGTTCAACCTCTTGCATCCCTCAGTTTGAGGAACCTGTTCTATAGCAATTTCTCAAACAAGTGAAAAGCAGCACGGAGAAAATCCACAGAGTCCCAGTCTCTCTCACTCCACGCAGTCGTGAAACAGGATAGCACATCTGAAAGCATGGAATGAGTAATAAAAAAAGAGGGAATTGTCTAAGTAATAATCATATCATCTCCAGTGAGGGGAAAAGCAAGACATTGTAACATGTTTAAGCAAAAAAAAAAAAAAAACAAAAACAAAAAAAAAAACCACTGCATGAAAACAAGCTGCTGCTTTCTGGGAGCACTGTTCCCTTTATGAAAAGAGCAGAAACTACCATTTATCTTTTTACAAGTGGTCAAGAGAATAAGCCAAAAGCATTTGTGTTATGATACTGAAATAAAACAACCAATCCATTTATTTCTGGACACCAAATGTAATTTAGATGGATGTGGTATGTATGAGAAATTTTAATTTGTCCCTGAAAAGCCATTTAATTATTCAGATTATCTGATTGCCTCAGTCAGTCTTGTATTGATTGATTAGAGAACTTTATAAATCAAAATCTATATTACTGCTGGTCAAAGCATCTGCCTCTCACATCAGCAGACATATACAGTTAATTTCCAGGCCCTACCCACAAGTTAGTTTATTGAGACATGTAAATGGCTATGGTTTATAAATGGGTCAGGTAAGTGTTCTTTCATACGACTAAGGGAATATTTACTTAAGGACATCAGGAAAGGGGGGAAAAGCCCTAAAGTAATAGCTGTTTAATAAATTAGGAGCCTAGTCACCAAAATTCCCAGCTCCTTGGCTGATGGCCACGAAGGATCACTGCCTCCATACTCACGGGGCCTACTTCTGTTTTGTGATCTGTGGCACTGGGAGAATCTCAAATGGTAAAGTTGGCACTTAGCCGAAATCTAAGATGAGACTTCTGTCTTCAGCCAAGCACCTGGTCACCAATCGTTCCCACATTAGACTCAAAGAGGTGGAAAATCCCCTCAGAACAAGCAGCAATGAAAATCTGTCTTCAATTCCAGAGCCTCCTGCTACGCACAACCTTTATGACCAACTTGAGTGCCTATTGCCAGCCTGGACCAAACAACCCCTAAGTGAGTAGCAATTAACATAATGAGTGGACTGATGAGCGTCCCGCATAGCTACAGGCCTCAGCAGCAACATGTCCCTAGCAAACTGGAACGTCTAGTCCTGAAACTCCACCTTTGTAAAAGGAAGGCAGTCGGAAACTAAAACGGGTGGGGGAAAAAAAGAAAAAGAAATTAAATGACTTAAGTGAATATCTCCATCCCAATCCAACACTCACTGAAGCTAATGAAAACCTTGCATTGATACTGGGGGGGGCTGAACTGGACCAACCATAAGGGAGTAGTTTTTCAGATTACACACAAATTTATTAAACAGAGCAGTTAAAGCTACAGTGACCACACTCCAGATTTGTAGTCTGGACTTGGCTTTCTAGGACAAAATAGACTTACAGAAAAAAACAAAAACACAAACTGAATAGACAGAACTCTGACAAATTAAATATGTCAACAATTCACTGGAATGAACTTAATTAGGATTATTTGCCTATGCCAAAAACTGACCAAAGCAAATGATTTGCACAGGTTTCCTATGTAACAGAAACCAGGGGGAAAAAAAAAAAAAAAACTTTTCAGCTTAATTTAAAAATTATTCTTATTCCATAATAAAAAACTGCCACACAACAAACTACTTAAAATTCCTGTCTTACCTTTCTCCAGAATTTCTTCCTTGCACAGACAAGCCCTTTATAAACATCCAAATTGTACACTGACACAACACAGAGAGATCATTTACAGTATATCTCGGGGGGGAGTTTTAAAGCAGCAAGAACGTAAGGACAGCCATATCAGGTCCAACTAGATACCCTATCTCTTCACAGTGGCCAGCAACGGATACCTAAAGAAGCATATAAAACCAGGGAAAGCACACAGCAGTTTTGCCTCAGGATGCTCTCACAGACACAAGTCATTTGCAGCTTTGGGGTTTCCAGAACCAGAGACGTATTGCATTCAAGAGCCCTTAAGGGATTTTTCTTCTGCAAATTCATCTAATCACTTTTAAAGCAATGAAAACCTTTAGCATGCCAAGGAGCTCCACAGCTTAACGACGCATTCTGTGGAAAAATTTTGCTGATTTGTTCTGAACCTACTACCTGCCTACTACCTTTGATTTGATGCCCCTTGGCTACTGGGTCAGAAGAGTCAGCGACTGGCCTCCATTTATCCTATACATAAAGATTAAAAAGGAGCTAAAGAGCTGCATTAATGAATTTAAGAGATTTTCTTATGCATATGCAGTAATTCATGCTGTTTTGCAAAACAGTATGCAGCTGAAACTACAGTGGTAGTCGAGTTGTTCTGCGCAACCTGCCACGCAGACATGTTGCCTACGTGAAGATAGCATGTATACCAACAGCATACAGAAGGCCACTAATTCAAGGGCAAACTTTGTAATTTATACTATGGATTGTTAACACAAACGTACTAAGAACTGCAACTGGTATTTGCATAAAGCCAATCAGCTTACAAAGTAACACCAGTGCTGACCATGTGGTCAAATGTATATACTGACTGAAATCAGGTGGGAACACTAGGGGGAAAACAGCAAAGAAAAATAAACAGCAATAACTTAAGAACAGTGGAGTTATATGTTCACTTTTATTTCACAGCTGCTTTTGCTTCTGTTTGTTTCATTATTGTTTCCTATACTGTAACTGGTAATTATGTCATTACGTCTAGGGGAAAAAAAAAATAGGACAGAAGAATTTGAAAGTGTATTTTCAAACCTAGACATAAGTTTGTTGGCTTTACATACTATAAAAAGTGATTCAATTCTGCAGACCACCCTGCAACAGAAAACTTCTTTTACAAGTGTAAGGAACTGCTGCACCACTCACATGATACTGTACACCTCTTCAGTCCCTGTCCTACCCTGTATTGTCACTGTCCATCCTTAAATAGCAGCTGCACTTTATCCCAGAGGTGGCTGCATGTCAGCTTTTACAAATTCACACCACCCGAAGAGAAGAGGGTGTGCGGCAGGGTGAGGAGGGGGAAGGTCAGGAAATGAATTCAGGCAGTAAGGCACACCCTTTTATTAGAGAGATACACTAAACTAATACATGCAAGTCTCTCATAAGACTAGCTACGATAAACTAGGTATTAGCCAGCTGTTGCTCTAGAAAGAGCATGTCAGCACAGACTTGACGCTCCTTGCTTAGGGCCCTTCAACTCCCCCCCCCCCCAACCAACCTGTACTTCCACAGTAATATTAGGACACTCTAAAATTAGGCTGTCGTTGTCCCCTCCCCTCGGAGGATGAGTTCAGAGAAGCCCATCTGGAACTAGGTTTTTTCCTTGTCTTTTTCGTTTGGTTTTGTTTTTCCCCCTCTATCTTTCCGGCAAGTCCTGAGCCCAGGAATTGACGCCACCGACTAAGATAATGGCAATCGCGTCCTTACTTGCATCCCCACCTCTCCCCCGCGGCCATCACGAGCTATTAG